TGCCTCTAGCCAGCTCCCACCCTCACTCTCAAGTAAGAGCCTCCATTCTTTTTTATTTTTCTTGGAGACAGTTGGTGCTGTTGAGGGTGGGAGAAGGCTTAGAAAGAAATCCTTAATATTTAATCGTAATTTTATGAGATGGGGGCAGAGTCAGCTCCTTGGGGCCAAATTCCTGATAGTCAGAGCAGCATGTACTAATTTATATAAGCTATTTCATAGCTTTTGCTTAGTCAATGCAAATAAGTAAAATTTAAAGTAATGCTTTTCGCTTGAAGGCTCATCGCATCCAGTCCCAGCATGTCGGTTCGGGGCCCTCCCAGGAGCGGCCAGTGAGGCCACATTCCCACTCATTCACCCCAGACTCTGGGGCAAGGAAATTTGGGAAGAAGAGGCCACAGCCTAGAGTAGCCTTTGCCCTCCTGCACAAAATCTACAAGTCGGAGGGAAACTTGGACTGTCTCTAACCCAGCCTTCTCTTTTGCTTTTGTGGAGAGCGAGGTTCAGAGACAAAGTAAGTTACCCAAGATCCCAGTGATGTAGGCCAGCCTGGGCCAGGAGCTGTGGGCTCCTCACCCCAGCCAAGCTCTCCCCACCGCAGTCAGGGGTCTCACTGATACTTACCGGTCCCTCTTCACTGTGGCTGCCAAAGCCTAACTGCTTCGGTTACATAAAAGCAACTCATTCTATGAAGCAAATGCAAAACTTTTTGGTTTTGATTCGCTAGATGGACCAGACAGGGCCTGAAGAAGCAAAGGATACCACAGAGAAACCGCCCAAAGGTTCTGGGCCAAAGAGCCAACAAATGCGACGGAGGGCCAGCCACCAAGATGGCTTTCGGAGAGGACTGAAAAATCAGAGTGAGCTGAAAGACAGCTAAGGGGGACTGAGCAACGCAGAGAATTGTCGTGGGTCTTCACTTCTTAAACTATATTCTAAATTATTTTCAGAAACCACAAGATGGTTGATGCCAGTGAGCTTCAGCTATCTTAATCAGATGATGTATTAAAAATGTGTATTTGTGAAAGTGACGTAAGTATACTACACTGGGCCTTATTGATTAGTCTGAGAATAAGCCTGGCGGAGGGCTGTTTTACCCCCTGGGTACTTCTCTGCGATGCCTCCTCCAGATAGATTGGGTCAGTGGTTCTCAGCTGGGATGACCTCCACCCCAGGAGACATTTGGACGATTGGCAGTGTCTGGAGACACTACTGGTTGTCACAAATGGAGGGAGTGGGGGAGGGGTGGTACTAGCATCCAGTGGGTAGAAGCCGGGGATGCTGCTAAACATCCCACTATGCACAGAACAGCCTTCCCACAACATAGAACTATCTGGCCCAAAATGTCAGTAGTGCTGAGGCCGAGATCTTGGATTAAGTGAAGCAATGGATACTTTCAGGAAAAACCTACTGGATGGCTGTGGTCCACAGCCAGCATGTCTCCCTGCAGTGGTATTCTCTGTGGCACTGGAGAGGGAGGACCTGGGTCTTTGTTCTCTGTGCTGTACAGCAACAAGCGACAGCAAGGAAACAGCTGACGGCTGGGACCGGGTGACTCAGACACGAAGGTGCTGGCTTCCCTTTGATTTATCACTCAGGACTCCAGAGGGACATTTCTCTTTCATTATCTGTGGCAATTTTCTGCACAGATGATTACAGTAGTAGGTTTGCCTTATCCGAAAGACATGTTCCTGAAAAGTTGTGTTTGTTAAATCATGTTTTAAATACAGTCAGGACATTCAGTAAATACTCAGGAGCCAGTGACTTTTCAAAGTGAAGGCCATTTTTAGTAAAGTCCTGCTCTCGAAGAGGAGCATGGCTCTATTCCGCATCTTAAATGCAAATGCTTCTTTCTGCCGTGCATCGCGTTTCCGTTGCAGAGCTCCATGAAGCGGATGGAGAACAGCTTCTCTTCTTCCTCCCTTTTCCTGCCTTTATCTTTTCCTTTAAAGAAAAAAAAAATCAGGGGGAAATTAACAATAGAGTCTCTGAATTTAGGAAGGTCATTGATCAGTCTCTCCATTAGACGGTTCAAAAGATGCCTGCTGGGTTACAAATTGTTAGAAAATAGGACTTGGTTCTATTTTGAAATCATTAATTTTTTATCTCACTTTTTTTTTTTCGGTTACTGACCTTTGGCTAGAAGGAGCAGGTGCACTCGGTTCCTCCATCACCCGTGGGTGTTTGCTGCACCACAAACATCCGATAAGACTCAGCCTCTGCCAGGGGTGGGGGCGGAGGACTGGTATCAGCAGAGATAAGGGGGTGGCACTGAAGGAACCCAGTGGCTTCTCCTTATCAATCACTGCCCTGGGGCAACATCCCTGTGTGTATAAATTGCTGACTAACTCAGCAGGGCAAAGGGGGCAGGAAGGAGGAAATTTATTTGATAAAGCTACCATTAGTGTCACTTCACTGATAGGAGGTTACACAGAGGTATAACCCAGCGGGGACAGAGCCACTGCCACGGGAGGAGCCGGCCCAGACGGGAGAGGCTCTAGGCAGACCTGGGCCTGACCTTCATCCCCACCGGAAGGACGGAGGGCCTGGGGCAGGGAGATGCTGGGATGCCCCCGCTTGTCGGCTGCCCTGGTGGGTATAGCACCCGTGTCGAGAAGACTGGAGTCACCGTGAGGGCTGGTGTCATGCTCAGCTGCTCCTTGGAGCCCTTGCCATTTGAATGGTCCTTCCTCACACCTTCATCCTTTCAGTCTCGCAGACCCCAGCGGGTAGGAAGGAGGTCATGGCGAGCAGCCTTTTACAAATGAGGAAGCCAGAGCACCAAGGAAGTAAACCACTTGCTGCAATCACTCAGAGAAAGATTTCCGACTTGCACGCGTGTATTCTGACTCAAAGCGCTGCATTTCCCTGCCCGATGGCTCACTGCTCTCGCTCAGATGGCCAGGCCTCAGTAAGGGTCATGGCCGAGCCACCAGGGGTCCTGGGTTCCAGTCCCAACTCTCTTTAACCCACTGTGTCCTCAGGAGCTAATCACTTGTCCTCTTAGAATCTTAGTTTTATCTGTGAACTGGGGGTGGAAGGCTTGATTAAGATGTCCTCGGGCCGAGGCAGCAGGCCGCTGCTTACGGGAAAGGGGCAGTCTTCGCAGTATCAGGCACTTACTGTAGGCCAGGAACTGTGCTCAGTGCTTTCTTCATTAATCAGCTGAGCCTCGCAGCACCTCTAGGAGGTGTATGGTCTTGGGAACTGGGCCCAGCAGATGGGGAAACAGTGCCGCTCAGAGAGGTGAAACAACTGGCTCGCGGGCATTGTCTCGTCCGCTCCGCTGTCACACGCAGACCCGCGTCATGGGCGGCTCAACAACAGTATCTATTTCTCTCCATCTGGCGGCTGGGAGCCCCGGATCAGGGTCCAGCAGGGCTTGGTTTCTGGTAGAGCTGTGTTCCTGGCTTGTAGATGGCCACCTCGTTGCAGTCCCCCGAGCTCCCTGTCCCTTCCTGTAAGGACACTAATCCTGTCAGCTCAGGGCCCACCCTTATGACTTGTTTAACTTTAATTACTTCCTAAAGGCCGTACCTCCAGTCACAGTGACATTGAGGGGTAGGGTATCAACATAGGCATGGGGGGAGGAGACACAAGTCAGTCCATAGCAGTCATATAGTCAACAAGTGATTTAAAGGTGGGGTTTGAAGTCAGCCACCTCCCTCATTGCTTCCTCTCCTAACCGCTGCGGCCGCTGGGCCGGGAGAGCTGAGCTGGGGCAGACACTGCGGGCTGCGGTGGAGCTTCTTGCTATCGCCAGCGCCAGCTCTCCCCAGTGTCCCTCCCTCCAAGGCACTGCCTTCCCTCCTGGGTACAAGCCCTTAACAAAACTTTCTGAATCCTGATTGGTGTCAGGCGTAAGTCAGTGGCAGGCTAGGGAATGGTGCTCCAAAGACCATCCTGAGCCCAGGAACAAAACTCAGGATACTATAGGAAAAGCAAAAGCAGCGTGAGGCTGAGCCCTGAGCACTGGTTCCTTTGTAGCCACAGCCGCTTTGTACCCGGCCCGGTGCCGACCCCTCCCTGAGGTTGCTGGCTGAAAAAAATCTCGTGGGCCCAATTCTCTGGGCTCTAGGGCCAAGGTAATAGTCGCTTGTCGCTCATGTGTGGAGGGATGAGAAATTAATCCGCATTGGCAAGCCACCCACCGAAGCAGCTCTAGTTGCGCTTGTCAGTTCCTCATTATTAAAGACTTTGCAGTAAAAACAAGCCGTTCAGACTCCTGCACAGGCTTCCACACCAAGCCAAACAACAAACTAGTCATCCACCTGGAATGTCTCCTCTTACAAATCACAGTATCTGTGTGCCGTCTGAGAAAACTGTATTCTCTCCCTCACTCTCTCATGTGTGACTGTTCCCACTTGTTTTATGTAGGTAGTTTTAAAAGGGTGGGGAGGGTTCCTAATTTAAAAAACCTCAGAAGAACAGCAGACCACAGGATAGCATTCAAAAAAAGAAAATGTGTCATTTTACCTCCCCTTATTGTCAAATAAAGGCGAGGGGTCCGTGGGGAAGCGCTCAGCTCATGGTCACCGAGGTGGAAAGCTACGTTTCCACAGCTGTAACTGGGGTTGTCACTGACGTCGGGAACGTTTTCAGTTGCGGAGGCCCTTTCCTCTCGTTTTCTGTCACTTCGCCCAAGAGTTACTAACAACACCCTTCCTTCTCTGCGGAGATGAAACTAACACTGAGCTCCCAGAGCTCTGTCCATTGTCACAAGGGTCCCTGAGTTGCTAGCTGACTGCTGGCTGCGCTCCCCCAGTAAGCCCGAAGCCTCTTCCCCAGCTAATTCTAATCGCACATAAAAATTTTCAAGTGCAGTTCAACCTTGAACATTTGGAAAACAGAAGCGCTCATTCCTATGAGTCATTTCTCTTCCCGGTGGCAGGGCCGTCCGGAATTAGCCGTGGTGTCCCAAGTTGCAGAGGCCACGGGCCTTCCGGCGTCTGAGTCTTGCTCGTCTCTGCCTTGCTCACCACATCCCTGGTTGGCTTTTACAGGTGTGAAAGTTGTGGAGCCGTCTTCCATTCCGAGTGCAAAGAAAAGTCTGTCCCCTGCCCGCGCTGTGTCCGCCGGGAGCTGCAGAAGAAGCAGAAGTCTTTCTGGCGGAGGCTGAACGTGGACGAGAGCCTGGAGGAGGCTTGCACCATGTTCGAGCTGTCCTACCACAACACCTGACGGGGCGGGAGCCCAGCCGGCGCTGGCCTCCCAGTGACCCGTCACCCCAGCGGCTTCCTCGGCAGCCAGTTCACCCCCTTCGGGAGAAGAGTGCGTCTCATCCTCAGCTAGACATAGATATATATTTATACACATATGTGTACACATACATAGCTGTACGTATGTTCTGTATGAGTCCATGTCTAAAAGGTCCGTGGAGCCTCTGTGGCTCGAAAGCTACCAATAGCTGGATTACACTTAGCCATGAACTTCAGCCGCCTGCTCCCAAGCAAAACGTGGTTTACACGCAATGCTTTATGCTTCAGGCTTTTTGTTTTTGTTTGTTTTTTGGCTCTCAGGGGCCACTTTATTACACAGGACACGGGAGGAAGCATTTCCAACAGAACAACAGCTTTGGGTTATTTTGGGGTTATTTATTTTTAGGGTTCATAACTGATGAGATAACTGAGGCAAGCACCCATCACCATGTTTCCTAAGAAAATCTTCAAACATGGGAGTGACTTTTGGATGCTTCCAGGATCCAGTGTCCCTGGCCCTCTCACCTCAGTTTCTCCCACAGAGGTGGGGATCAGCTAAGCTGAGCCCAGTGGCTTGGAAATCAGGAGTGTGAGCTCCCCCCGACAGAAAGCATGCACCCCTAATTTATCAGGAGAGCCAGTTCTGGTCCCTGTGAGAAAAGTTTTTTTCTTGACAAAGAAGAGACCTCTGCGACCAGTTGCTGCATGTTGTCACTCTGTTTGCAGGTGTGAACCCCACCTCCGCCGGGTTGTAAACTGCTCCTATGAGCAGTTCTCCGGGGGCTTCGTGGGTGATACTTACGATATGTTAATGGTGCTGCCTGAGGAAATGTCCGAGGGTGGTGGTTAGCCACACCGGTGTGTAGGCTGGTAGGTAGTCAGGGCATACATCCCAACGGGCTGGCCACTGTAAATGCTTTATTTCTCATTGTTCTTCATTGCACTTTCATTTTGACCTCTGTCAGTTTAACTACTTCTACTTTCATATTTTTAAAACCTTTTTTAAAAAAATCAGAGTAACCTGGAACGTCAGAATACCAACATTAGACTATTAAGAAAATACCAAACTTACAAATATAATTAATGAATGACATCTAATATTGTTTAAATAAATATATACATGTATATAATTGCCACCTTAAAGGGTAACAAAAAATGCTAAAATAAAATCATAGGAAGAAGAAATATAACAAATCGCTCAGCCACGAGTTCTCCCACTGCAGTGCCCTCTAGGGAGCCATTGTAGGGATCGCTGTGGCGGAGTGGCAGGTACGATGGCACTGGAAGTCATGGCTCCCGTTCCTTCCACCTCACTCACCTCTCCCCAGAACAAAAAACTAAGCTTATATTGAAGCAACGGTACATTTAACCCCATTGCTCCTTTCCCCACGCCTTGCTCCCTCCAGATCCAACTCGCGATACTTCTGTCCATTTGGAGCCGTGATGTTTCAGACTCTTGTGCAGACGGTTAGGTGTAAGCATTTCACCTCTCAGCCGTGCCAGTCCTTTGGCCCCAGACCACACATTTCCACTTAATAGCTCAGCATCACGCACGCATTTATTTTCTGATTATACAGTAGCTGTATCCAAGGCATGAAGACTTGTTAAGAGGCCAGGGCCCCATTCACCAGACGCCTTACGGTGCCTTTTAACTCTTGGAAAAACAGCTTGACTCTCCCCCCACTGTAGTTACAGAGAATGTTGCACACAAAAGAAAAAGGGTGGAAAATCTCAAGCAAACGCTTGGCAAACAGGCAAACAAATTTGATCACCTCCTCTCTCCTCCCCTTCGTGAAATACAGTATTTATATTTTTTCAGCCTCAAAGAAGATAGAACAGGATCTTTCACAAGAGAATTATGGACCTGCTTATTATAAAACAGATGTGCTCCCATGGCAAAGTGCCTTTTCCCTCACGCCCGGCTCCCTGTCACTGCAGCTTACTTCTGCCTTTGCTATAATTAATGTATCTGTGATTCCGACTGTCAGCGAGGCCGTCCCCAGCACACTGCATTTGGAGACCTGAGTGCAGGGCCGTCTCCTCCCCTCCTAGCATGTTTGCCCTGTGTACAGAATTTCCTGTTCCACCTCCCAGGCACCCAGGGTCAGACCTGCGGGGAGTGGGGGTAAAATTCTGGATCCCTGTTCCAAAGGCCTTTGTTGTCACCCGGGCCGTTCAGAGGGCCCTGCTAAATATCTGCAGTCCCTGTGAACTCCTGAGGGGAGCTTTCCACTCACATTTTCTGCTTATTTTCAAAAGGGAAAAAAATAGATGTGCTCTCCCCATCAGCCACCCAGAACTGGCAGTGTATCCCAGCGGCTTCTGTTTTCTCTCCTTTCTGTACGTTTCTGACAGCCTGGTCAGTGCCAGCCGCAGGCCTACACCGCGCTCGCAGCCACCACCACCAAAACCCGATAGGACGGAGCGGAGCCCGCCTGGGAGCTGGGTCTGCCATGAACATTCAAAATTGCTGTTTTCAGCCCAGAACGCCTTAGAGCTCATGAACGCCCTTACTGTTTTCAACTCTAACAAATTACTTGGTGGATGGTTAGGTAATTGTTCCACTGCTTAGAAACTGTCGAAACAAAAGCAGATCTGTGGATTACCACCTCCGTAAGACCGAGCCAATGCCTGCTTTCCCTCATGTTCCGTTTCTCATCCCATATTCAACATAAAGCCCACGAGAAGATGGCCAATTACTCTCCCAGAGCTGGCAGCCGACCCAGGGGAACCTCTTCTCACTTGAAAGGCCTGTTCCTGCCGTATCGCCCGAGGAACTCCCTCCACTCAGCGCCAGGAACACGTGTGAGACCGTCCAGCCCTGGTGAAGCCCTGGCACCTACCCCTGCAGTAAAGAAGCCAGTTCCTAAAATAGACCTCACTTTGCACCGCTGCAGGAAGGCCACAAAGTACTTAAAAAGCAGTCAACTGGAATGCGACGCGTGTTCTTTCCAGGGCTGCTTTTTCCCACATTTCAAAGCCTCTTTATATGAAAACCATGTAAACACCCGTCTCCCCGTTTGCTTCACTGCCTTTTCGGGGGACTGCATTACAGTCGTTTTCATGTCTGTCGTGCTGAAGGCTAATCATCTGAGGAGGTGTAATATTTGATTAGCTGAGAGGGCAATACTCTTTGATTGTTTTAGACCAGGCCTCCACCGAAAAGGGCACATTGCTGGCACTTGGGATTTGTGGCTTCAACCAACTCAGTGGTATCCTTCAGCCTCCGGCAGAGGGACTGTGCCCCAATTTCCTCTTGCTGCAGTGAGAGCCGAGGTGTTTACATCACTAGCTGTCTCAGACAGCCTTTGCTAAGTGGAGGGAGTCCCCTGGATGGGGCCCGGCCTCTGGTTTTGTCTCTACATAGGTTCCACACTGAACGTTGACACTGGAGAGGTTCTTCCTGTGCCTCCTGGAAAAGGCTTGGCTTCCAAACCCATGGGTGTGTTCTCTACCCATTGGCCAAAAGGGCCCTGTGTGAGTTACTGTGTCAGGGCGGGAACCCCGTGAGGCCACCCTGGCCACCGCAGCGGAGCATTATCTGAGGAAGCCCAGGTACATTCTGCCCCTAATTTCGGGTGAAGCCAATGCTGCTGTTCACGTCTGGGCAGAATTACTCATCCTCACTGAGCTGCTGCACTTTATTGAAATAACTGGATTATGAAGTAAACCTTCAACTCCTGATTCTAATGCTGCCTGGAGTCAACACAAAAGGCTCTTTTATTTTATATTTTTACTTCTCCCAGGAAAGAAAGATGCATGCAGTTTCCCCCTTTATTTCTTGAGTTTTCTGTCTCACTGCTTTTCTTACTCGGAGAATTGGGGGCAAGACTGAGAGACACGAACACCTCCCTCCTTGGCGTGAGTTGGGCCTTTGGCAGCACTGTTTCCTTCCTTGTAACTGCTGGGCCTTAGGAGCTTTGTGTGTGTGCCTCGCCATTCGCACCCGAGTCACAGGGAACTCACTGTCCCGTGCTGAACCCAGTGATGGGCGAACAAGCTGAGCCGTTCATGTGATGATGCTCTCATGTGGGCCAGCGTGGACAGTTCAGCCCAGCACCCAGCAGCCTTTTTACTGGCAAACAATTCTAATTTCATTGTATTCGACAACCTCTGACTTGAGGGGTTTAGTGTGTGTTAGTGCGACTCTACCTTAGCAGGTAAAATCCAAGTCGTCGTTAAACTCGAGGTAAAAGTCAAGAGAAAAATGTGGATCACCCCCTCAGCACACCTGTAGTTGTCAGGTTTTCTTTTAAATGGGTTCCAAGTGACCACGTTTCGTGGCACTTTCCTCATAACGTGGCCTCCGGTATGATGGAAGGCCCTGTGACACTCCCGTTGAACTCAGTGAGGCGACAACTGTTCTGCTTTGGTTCCTCCCTGTGGAAAGAGAAGCCACCTTGTTAGAAAGGTCTGGAGTGAAGCGGGTTGTTGCAGGTAGAAGATCCAGGCACCCACAGCAACTCTGCACAGCGAAGCTCCCCTCCTCCCAGGCCGCAGAGCTGCCTGCCAGCCCCTCCCCTGGGCCCGTGGCTAGTAGCCCGGCCAGCAGACAGCTGGGGCCCGGGGCTCCTCCACGCCGGCCCTGCCACTTGTGTCTCTCCCCGTAGGAGTGCCTTATAGTACCGCCTAGAGCTAGTCTCTGACCCACGCGAAGCCTGCAGGGCCCTTCGCCCGAACACAGGCCACTTCGCTTCTGCCCTGCTGGCTGCTCTACACAGATCACTCGGAGCCTGCGTACTCCATAGCATGTCAGCCTTCCACCCTCGTTTAACCCGGTGCCTTACGCTCACGAGTGAAAAGGATTCCTTTGGGAAACATTGAAGGGGAATGCAGAAACATTGGCTTCTTAGCTCCATTGGCACTCTTACCAGGATATACAAAAGATGCAAACCACATAATGCTTTCACTTTGTTTTATGCCGTTTCTTAAATCACTTTCTGTTTGTTTGTTTGCTCTCATTAACCAAACTCAGGGGAATGTCATGATGTCACCAAGGCCAATGGGTAGAGAGATTAAACCAGTTATCCTGATCTGAATCTGTAAAGTCAGTGAACTTAGACTTTTTCAGGCTAAGAAGTTACATAAACATAAGGGTTTTTTTTTTCTTTAGGTTTTGTATTTTGCCACCCGTTTTCCAGTGGGAAGTGGGAAGCCTCTTGGGTAAATTGTGATAAAAATGTGTCTGTGTGGGTTAGGCCGTCAGTCCACTGAGCTATTGTTAAATTAGGCTTTCACCGCTGGAGGCCTAGGTTCTGATTTTGGTCATCTATCAGAATCCTATTGTGAACAGCCAGTAACCTACTGCAGAAAATTTAAGGAAAAAAAAGTCTGTCTAAGGAACGGTAAAAAGGGGAAATGCTGAGGCTGCAGATGAAGAGCATTGAGCGCGGCGCTGCGAAGACGCTGCACAGCTTGTCCTTCCGCTCCTGGGTCAGGGCACTGTCATTTCCCTTATTTCTGCTCATGCACTGCAGAACTGACTAACATTTTGGGTTTGGGCTATTATATTGCTCTGTGTTGAGCGATTTTTAATAGCCGATGTGCTAAGTTATATATGTGTTGTTCCTGTTTTCTGGATTTTATTGCCTTTTGTTTTGGCACCATTCATCCATATTTTTGTTTACATCATTTTTAAAATATCGGCAAACTGTAATAATATGAAATGAAGTATTGTTGACGAGGCCCCTAATTTTTATGGTTATATAATTTAAGCGTACCAGTTCCTAATGTATAAAGTTATCTCGCCCTCAATAAACAATGCAGAAAGTACTTTCTCTTCTCATGACTTCATTAAGTTACTGTTTTGGGGGGGCGGGGAGGGGTGTTGGGGGCGTGGAAGCCCAAGATGAGCCCTAGATGTTAATTCAGTCAAGATTTGTGTTTTATAGAAAGTGAGCTACTAGGACTGTAAAATACCTCTTAATATTAATCCTATAGATAGATTTTTGTTTTTTTCCAAATCCATCAATCTATACTATTCTCAACAGCCCTTTCAATGTTTGTGAAAAGCATAGCATAGCATTTGTTTAAATGCAGACAGTGTGCTATGGGCCTTACTTGCCAAATCAGGGCATGATTTTTTTCAGCTCTGAGACACACCTGCCAAAGCTCATGCATGGAATGTCCTTCTGCCAAAGCTTGTCCCCCAGCTTCCCTGCCCTGGTTTCATCTCAGCTCTGTACTCTCCAAATTAGACCGGTAAGTGCTGGGCAGGAGGCCGCTAGGCAAGAGCCTAGTCCCTCCTGCAGACCCTGTTTGGGAAGCAGAGTGAAGAGCAGAGGGTGGGTGCTCACTGAGAGGTAGCAGCCCTCTGGGAGGCAAGAAGGGGTTGGAAATGTCCGCACCCCCTTGCGTAGACTGGCCCTCACCCTTCCACCAAAAAGGCCATGAGGTGCAACAACCGTCCGCGTGGACTCCCGCAAAAGCACCCTTTAAACTAACACACCTTCTCAAAGAAAGACACTGAAGAGGCTAGAAAAGGTGCTTCTGGTTAACCATTTACCAGAGGTGAACCCTGAGCCTCGCTCCCCAAGACACACCTAAACGAGTTCATGCCCGGCTCCCCTCCTCCAGCCTCCGGAAACCACCCGGGGCTCACACCCGGGCTGTCCAAGGAGCAACTGGACTTCATCCTTGCAAGAAACCTGACCTAACCCACAATAAAGAGAAGTGAGTTAATGTTTCACTGAACCAAACTAGACACTCGGCGTAGTCAGAGCCCAGCTCGTCTGATTCACAGGACGAGTCCGCTTTGCCCCGGTTGTGGGGAAGGAGTGGCTGGGCCATCCAGCAAGTCTGGGCATCGTCACAGAGAAGACACGCAGAGGTGTCCTCAGAGGGTGGAAAGCGACACCATCCTCTCTCCCCACCCTGAGAGGTGGTGATTTCAATCTCCCGTCATTGTCCCACCCCACACCTGTCCTTTCGGCAATGGCTCAAGATGGTGGATTAAACCAGTGGTTCCCACATTAGAAACAAGAAAAAAAAGCAAAACGTCAGGACCCCATCACAGAGAATTGTATCCGAATCTCTCTGGGTGGGGCCTGAGTATTTGCATTTCTTGACAGCTCCCTGGGTGATTCCCATGTGCTCTGAAAGTTAAGAACCACTAGATTAAATGAAGCGCGTTGCTCTAAAATAAACATTTGTTCGGCGTACTGGTGGTCCACGGTGGGAAGGATGTCAAAGGGATGTGGAGGGATGAATGGCTCTGATTCCCCCCAGCTAACGCTCTTGCTTCCCTGCCTCCCAGCAGAACAGTACTTTGGAACTTGCTGCTCACAGACTGCAATCGTTTTCATAGAACCTTACTTTTATACCCTTGTTATTTTCTTCCAGGGTGTGGTTAGCTTCCATTCATTCGGCATATACCATCGCCAGACAGCCTGGTAAATAGAAATGGCCAGGTCACGGCCACAGGTGACTGAGCTGGCCTACGAATGGAGCCTTGTACGCTCCGTTTCATTTTTTCATTCTTCCTGGTTATGCTGCAATTGTCCTCAAATGCATGCATGTGAGTCTGAGTCCGCTCCTAGTTCAGGCCCAACCAGTGAACATGAACCCCATCACTCTGGAGAGTGGTGTTTCAAATGGAGAATCCCTAGGTGCTTCTTGCCCAGAAAGGCCTGAGAAATTCAGGAAATCTTGAGCTGAGTCCAGATTTGCTTCGGTTCAGCAGAAAAATGAATTTACAATGAACCAGAGTCATTCCAGACTCAGGCACCTATTGAACTGATGATTTTCTACCTCAATTGCCAGTTACAGGTGAATGGAAATGGAGAAAGTCGGTTCTCACCCTCACCTCCCTTAGTGAAGTCAATACTGTAAGGATGACAATATTCCTCGCTGATGGGACACTTTTCCAAAGGTTCAGAGTCTTAGAAAAGATGTGATCTCCTCCATGCTCACAATGCTCACCGCATGGGAACTCCCCCGGCAGCCAAGAATTTATTCAAAATCACTGTAGGAAGCTAGCAGTGCTAAGGGGCAGGAAAGCACTGGAAATGAACTTGGATCAACCAGGGTCTCACCTGGAACTTGTTCTAAAGCAGCAGCATCAGAAATGACATTCCTGATTGGGGGGGGGTGCATTTATTTTTATTATTACACTGGATTCTGACTGGGATAGAGGTTCCTCCCTGAGAAGAACAAAGACCCCTGGCCCGTACTACCCAGGAAGCCTGAGGCCAGCACACCCAGCAGAGAGAGACCGTTCATTCTGCCCTGCTTGCATCCATTGCTTCAGAGCCTGGGCAGGGAAGTCTCACAGGAAGAACACACTGTCCCCATACCTGAGTGTCCAGAGATTCTGATTTATGTGCACTGACTTCCAATTTACCTGGACAATAGGGAAATTCACTGTTCCTCCACCTTTATTTCATATCCCTCCATTAAGGGCTTTCGGTTTTAAGCAAATCAGCTAGAGTTCACGAGTTCATGCAATATTTCAGATCCTGCCATACAACCTCAGGCAGCTGTTGGTCAGGGGAAATTCCTCCAGCTTTTGTCCAGAGGCTCCAAGACAGACTGATACAAGAGCCACGTTCAGCGACTCCCATGTTCTCCCAGTGCGGTCTGTTGTTCTGCAGCTGAAAAGCTGCTATTAGCACAGTAATTTTATCAAATGAACATTGAGCTAAATTATCTCAAATGTATAAAGGAACATCTCTCACTGTGTTATGGAAAATTGCCTTCCAAATTACAAGACTATACAAAGCACATTAATTTGGGGCCCAAGGACATCCAAATTGCCTCAGCTTCCATGCTGTATTGCGATGACACACTCTTAATAAGGTCAGGTTCCGAGGACACCACAAGGTGCACGCTGTTAGGAAAATAAACCAGCAGCCCTCTCTGCGAGGATCACCACACGCGTGCTCAAGCCCAGCCAGAGGTATTTTGCTCTGAGATTCAAGCTTTTTGCAGAGGAAATAAATTCCAATTGCTCAGGCAGGGAAGTGAATTTGAATTCTAAACTGGGTCAACCTCCCCAAAGGGCTTTCTCACTGCGGCCTAGGAGTAAGGGACCTGGGGAAGCAGCATCGCAGCCCCAGCGCCCAGGGGAGACTGTCTGGAAGGAACTCCCACTCGTGCATGTTCAATGTCACGCCAGGTGAAATGGGGAAAGCAGCGGGCAGCACTGGCCGATAGGCCTCGCTAAGTGCCAGTGCTTGTAGGGAACACGTGTCATGTGGTTCAACATCAGCCCTGCTCAAATTGCCCCCAAACCTGCCCCCCAGCACCCCACCTGAATGCGTCAGCTCATACAGTCCACCCCAGGGCGTTTGTAATGAGGATTATTCGATTTTGCCTGGTTTGTGTCACCGGCGCTTGTTTTTCATTTTTTCACTTTGAAGAAATATCGCAAAGCAAATCCCAGACATAATGACATTTATGCCCACGCACTTTAGTATGCAGCTAAAAAGTATGTTTTCTTCTTTGTACATAGTCACAATGCCGTTACAGACCTAACAGAATTAAGTCATTCCTTGTTATCATCTGATGCTCATTTCCAAATTAAGTTTATCTCATTGTCTTAAAAACATTTTTTTTGTTTGTTTGTTCACGCAGTGAGGCTTTAAAATTGTAGAGGACTATGGTGCCTCCCCAGCTCCCCGCCCCCACCCCCATCTTTAATATACAGGTGCCCACTTTTCCTTCAGAGGTCAGTACCCCCCATTCCAGGTGGTGCTGGTAGGCTGTCAATCGAAGTCCCCTTTCTTTTTGGACCCACCGCCCAAGCTAGGCCAGCGGGAATTTGAATCTTGAGGGGAGCTCACACATGGGATGGCCGCATCTGAAGGGGCTGTCCATTAGAGCTTTCTCCCTGGAAACTGCCCTGAACCCTGCTTTTTTGTTGCTTAAATTCTATGAACTGGGCAACAAATGGCTTCTCTCTTTAAGTTAAGAGCTGCTTTCTGCCCCATGTCTCTCCCATGCAATGTCTCACCACAATTTCTCTGATTTCTCCACATTTGCCACTTCGTCCTGACCTACGCACCCAACAGACACAGCAGCGTGAACACACGTGTGAGCCCTGCCGGGGGCACCGTTCTGGCCTCTGCGCTCAGGAAGCTGTACCACGGCCAGGAGGAAAGTTTTCTTTAACTGAGAAGAGATGCTTCTTCAGGAGCTTGCTACACCCCACACGAGGATGGTGACTTTCCAAAGGGTGCTCAATACTTGACTAATTGAAACAACTTGCTCCAGAAACAGAATTGCTTCCTGCAGGGACAGCAGGTGCCCCCAAGGTGCAGACGGTCCTGTCTGTTCCCTGGGGATTCGTGTTCCTGAGCCGGTACCCTGATCCTTGTGGGCAGACTCCTCAATTCCTCAGCCATCCCCCGAGATGCTCTAACCAAAGACTAGAAATCTTGATTCAGTTCTTTCATGGGATGACTATTTTACTTTAAAGTCTAAGATAGTTATAAAATAAAACTTAAAAGCACAAAATTCTGTGAGAGAGAAGGGCTCTGCATACAAGTCCTTCCAAATGAAAGAGTCTAGAGAGTTTCTAGAAAATGCCATTGTTTGCAGTGCGGTTAGCTGGGCACATCGTGGATCACCCTTTTTTTAATCAGATCTAAATGTTTGATTAAGGCTGTTATTTAATGCAGGCAGGAGCCTAAGATTATCTATCATTATGGTCAAAACTTTTCAACTTTAATTTCTCCTTAATAAAACTTCTGGTCTCAGGGCACAAAGAAACAGATCATGGAAGGAATGGACTTAATTCCCTGCCACTCAGTGAACATTACCCTAGAGCAGCT